CTCCTTAGTTTCTTAAAACAAAACATAGAAATCCAGTAATTTCCTAGTGAGGTTTATGTGGTTACCTGTTTCAGACTTAACAATGACTTCTATGGTTACCTATTTAAAATTTAACAATTTTACTTTTATATGATTCAATCTTGATTGAATTCTAAGATATCAGAAATTAAGCTGAGTGTGTGATATTTAGTTATTTGTACAACTTCACCTGGGAAAAGCACAGTCCATGTGTTTGTTCTTTGTAATTCCTTTCTGTTCTACTTTACTGCTTAGAAGAAGGAGGCTTACAAAGCTTCACAGCAGCAATCAAATCTTACTCCAATTCAGACTTTCTTTTGGCAACCAGGAGATGGAATCAACATTCCATCAGATCCATCAGGCCATCTCATTAATGTCACTAAAGCAAGCTCAACAAGAGGAGGAACACAAAACCAAAGAAAATTGAACCCCTTAAAAAAAAAAAAAAAAAAAGCTTTTTTCATCAGTTGCCTTCCCTACAGAAGCAGCAACACATAAACTGCACAAGACCCTCATTCAAGCAGTCTTCTGCTCTCCAAAAATATGTATCTGTCCAAGTCATTTTCAGCATCACCTTGCAGTCCAGGGGCACCCAGGTTTGTGCTAAGAGCTCCCACAAAGCAACCCAAGTCTCTCTCCTGCAAACAATCTAAGGGCCCTTGGCCTTTGTGCTGCCCTGCCTCACGCATTCCCAGCTGCATTTTCTGGGCTCTCACACCACACATGGCCCTGCAAGGAGCATTAAGTTGCCAACACCAGAACAAGTCCCAGTACCTGTGGCAGGGACAGACCCCCTGCCCCAGGTGGTGCTCAGCCAGTCTAACCAGTCACTGGTGCACAGGGCACTTACCTGGGAGGCAGGAGGACAGCAGCAGGGTGCTGGAAGAACTGGACTGCTCCGTTGAGGAGGACAAATGAGGGCATGCTGCCAAGCAGTACAAGCAGAACAGGGTTGGTGGCAATGAGAAGTCCCAGCAACAGACCGATGACCATCAGACAAACATGCAAGGATGAAGCAAGTCCCAGGGCAAGCCAGGAAATCTGGCAAGCAAGTAAGGTAGAGGCTGGATGCACCAGGAGAGGCTGATGAGGGTAACTAGTCAATTAGCACCTTCATACCCTGCCAGCTGGCTCTGCTTCTCAGGCTAGTTTGAGTCAAGGATTTTACCACTGGTCCATCAGACACAGTAGACACTTTGGTTTCTGAAATTCAGACTGCATTTCCTCAGTTAAAAGAGTTTTTACTTGTAATAAATATTTTCATCAGGCTTCTGTCTCTCTTACCTCCTGATCTGTTTCTTGCCCTCACCTTTCCTGAAAGCTGAGCATCCTGGCACACAGCAAGGTCTGCCTGATGGCCATCATGAAGTCCTGTGCCCTGCCCAGGGCTGTAGCCCTGATGGTCGTAAACTGCAGTGGGAAAACCTCTGCCATAGCGCTGAGTTCAGGGGACCAGGCAACAAAGCATCCCATGTCTCTTGTCAAGGTCCATCAGCATCTGCTCACTAAATGGGTCTTGGCTAAATGAGACCCAACTCTCAGCCCCATGCTGCTGCAAAAATGCAAAAACCCCACTGTTTCTTGCTCTGAAAATAGACCTGTACCTATTTTGATTGCTGCCTGAGTGAAGGACATTTTAACTGTGCTCATATTTGCAGGGCATTTCACCAGCTGTGCTTCCCCTGCAGTGATTCCTCTTCCCTGGGGTGGCAAAGGACACCTCTGTGGTGTGGAGAAAGTCACTTTGGGTTTTCCCAATTAAAGGTTATTATATTTGGGGGGGGGGATATTTTGGAGACACTTCCTTTCTGGCCATTTCCCTCATAACAGTTTTATTCACAAATGTGTGGGTTGACAGACGCTCATCTGCGTGTGCTGGGGGATTATCACATACCCCCGAGGGCTGAGCTGGCACAGCCCTCCATGTGCTGCCTGCGTCTGGCAGGGCTGCAGCTGGGTCCCTGCGGTGGAGTAAGAGAAGTCTGGTTTGTCTCTGTAGATAAAACAAGGTGGCAAGCTGCTGGGCCACCAGGCAGGCATTTGTTCGTGCAAGTGCTAAGATAGGGTGAGTCCTTCCACCCTTTTCCACAGGTCCCAAATTGTCTTTGTGCATTTACTGGCTGCTCTGGTCACTCGGCCGTTGCTCGTTGGTCCCACCTGTTTGCCAGAGCAATTTACACCACAGCTCTAGGGTTTCAGAGGGGCTGGAAACCAAGTGCCATGGTGCCGCAGTGATGGGGCTGCTACCAGAGCCCCAGAAAGGAGGCTTAGGGTTAGGGGGGCATTTGGAGCCAGTGAGTGCCCGGTGAATGCATCCAAAGCAGCCCCTGAGCTCCCAAACCTGGCCGGGGAGATGCCCGTGAGCCACGCCCTGGGCAGAGCGAGGGCTGGGTGCTGGGGCTGCCGGGGTGGCAGGAAGAAAAGGGAGGTTTTGTCAGCGCCGCACAGAGCGCAGCTTCATCCAGCTGACCCCAGTGGACAAAGAACAAACGGCGGCGGATGCCAAAGAGTCGGTTTTAACTGCCCATGGAGCCTTCCCATTACGGCTGGCACAGCTGAGTAATGCTCGAAAAACCCAAGAGGCAAACAGTGGTAGGGGTTGTTTATCTTTTTATTATAAATTTAGTATGAATGACCAATGGAAAAGTCACAATGGAGTACCAAGAATGTTTTATCAAAATTTTAGCAGCATTTAAACAGTAATAGATTCTCAACCTTCTCTGGGCACCCCTTGCCCTTTGTCTCCCACCCATGAAACAGTAACCTTCACCCAAATGTGCTTTCCAAAGCTGTGCAGGGGATGTAGCTACCCATTTCCCCCTGAGCTGCTGTGAAAAAATCTCATCACTAATGCTGGTTACCACGCAACCTCCATTCACGTAGGGCCAGGTTCCCATCCCCTCCCTGTCAGCAGCACGGCAGGAGGCTGGTGGGCGGGAATCGCCGGGGAGGACACAGCATCTGCTCACATCCTCACCGTGCTCCTCACACCAGCCCCTGCGTGGGTCAGCACTCCCATGGGCGCCCAAACCTTCAACCACAAAACCAGGGCTAAGCCTGTTCCCTACCCGCTGCTGCCCTTCACTTCTGAACGCGGGGGTGCAGTGCACCCCACCGTCCTGCTCCTGTACCTGAGAGTGTGTGGTTGTGGCTGGATGGACAGACAAAGGGGAGACTGACGGTCCATTCTTCTGCTGGAATTGATAGCAGGGCAACTGGGAGCTGAGACTTGAAGGGGAAAGGTAGAAGGTGAGCAGTCAGTGAGATACTTCAACCCACAAAATGAAGTCAGTCTACTGTCAGCTAATGTGGAGAATCGTGGTCTGCCTACTGAGTAACGAGAACTAACTGGTTTGTGTGCTTTTTTTTTTTTTCTTTAAAGTTACACTAAGACATGAACAGTACTATCCCAGCCTCGCTGGCCAGAACTTGGTGAAAACAATGATGAGTTAGAGGTGGGGAAACACGACACACACCCACACATGTAGACAACAACATAATATCGGCAAGCTATTCCCCTGCTTCTTTGGTACTTCCTAAACTTTCTTATCCAAAATATATAAGGGAAATGCACCATTTAAAAGTTACTGTTTGCAAGTATTTACACAGCCATAACCATCACGCTATGATACACAAAGATCAATATGATATGAACAAAGTTATTTTATGAAAAGCACTTCTGCACATTTTATTTTGTTCCAGTATCTTAATAGCTTTAAAAAAATTCATGTGTTATGCAGTCCTGTACCTCGCTTCTTCTTATATCAAATGGACAAGAAACATTTCCTAATCCATACTCTTCTTCAAAAGATTAAAAAATTGCCACCAAAATGATACACTATGTACAAATTTTACTAAATATTAAATTCTAGGCAATTATTTTCACCCCACTGATAATATAACTTAGGTATTGTTACCTACTATATGCATATATATTTCTTTAATATATAAGAAATGGCACCACATCACCATGTCACCAATATGACACATTGTTATGTACAGTAGATAAGAAGTTAGATATGGAAGATGGATCCTCTCCGGCTGGTTCTTTCACAGGAACGCTTCTCCCCTCGGTAGTAGCTCGGCCGTTTCCCCTTTTCCCAGTGGAGAAGGCTCTTCAGATGTAAGGCAGGATCCCATACATCAGCAGCGCCATCACCCCGGCGCTGAACAAGCCTGCCACCGGCACAGTCACAAACCATGCCAGGAAGATGTTGCGGAAGAGGCGCCAGTCCACGGCTTTCTTGGAGCGGATCCAGCCAACGGCCACCACAGAGCCAACCTTGGGAGCACGGGGAAGAGAGAGGGAGACAAGATGTGAGGGGTAGGTCCGAGCACCTGCACCATGCCCACGGCCACACCAATGCCAGTCAGCTGATACCAAGCAATGCTCTGAGATAAAGGAGCCCCTGATGATGATGATGATGGCTCTGTTCTGGTGGGGTAGCAGGAGGGCAACAATTCCAGGGTGCTTTAACCTTTACTTTTAAGTGATCTCCTCTTTTTCATGGGTCTTGGGGTCAGCCAAAGGAGAATAAATACGTTTGTGGATCTTTCTCTGCCTTGCTATCTCCTGGACCAGCTGTGAGTGCAACCAAGGCAGCTTTCCACTCACCTGGTGCCTGACTCGGTGTGTATGGGAGAGGGCAAGCATCCAATGAGTCTGGACAGACCGTGGTCTAAACTATGAAAACACTGGGAAGGTTGTTTTTAAGGCTCTGCTGGAGAGTGTGGCATGGGGCAGGTCGGGTTAGCTAGTATGGTTCCTGTTCCACCTGCCTGTCCTCTTGCTGGTTTGGGATGTCCTGCCTGTTCACCCAGCAGCTGCTGATCCTCTTCAGGTTATGGCTTGGCATACAGAGCTGACTCCAAACAGCACCTATATATTTCAATACTGCGGCTATAAACACGACAGCATCGGCAATGTAAGCAGCTGAGCCCACCCTGTATAGCAGTGGTAGCTTGGCAGGGGGCAGACAGCCAGTGCAAGGTTAGACCCAGTACAACTGCCCCTCATCAAACTCATCAGTGCGAGCCCTCTGAGGAAAACCAGCCCTTCTGGACCAGCCAGCAAAGCAAAGCATCCAGAGCTAAAATCCTCCCTGCGGACATCAGCCTGATGCTATGGGGCATACAAGTGACATGGACACCAAGAGGTCTGGCTTCAGGAGGGGAATGGATAAACCACCAAAATATCCTTTGAAGGCACTGCTACCAGGGCAGCTGGGGGTTGGTCAGTGTTTTTGAAGATAAAACACATTGTGGCATAAGCAAAGCTACAACCTTTTCTCCCTTCAAATATATTTTCAGTTAATAAGCTCAGGTAGAAACCCAGCATATTATTTTTTAAGAAAGAGCTGGACTGAGAAAAACATTTCTGGTGAAAAATGATGCAAAAACTTCAGACATGCTGCATTTTATTTCTGCCCTGGAAGTGGCCCCCCATGCCATTAGCAAAAATGTGTAAATCTGCAAATCTATTGAAAGCACACAGTAGAGCTTCAAGAAATGTGGAGGAATATCCTGTTTTGAAGGAAAGGAAACTCAAAGACACAGCTGGGCTTGTGCTCCCTGAAATGCCACCCCTGCCTCCTCTTCCCTGCTTGTTTTCTTAATGGGAGTATCAGTCCCTGCCTGTAGATTAGAAGATGGGCAGCTCCCATGTCCGGAGCCAGGAAAATGGTAAATGCTGGGAGAACAGGGAAGCAAGGAGAGATATGACAGGGACATTGAGTCCGCATCTTTTTTTAACACCTATTTAACTTCTAACTACTGCTTAACATTTCTTTCAGGAGAAAAGATTTATTTGTGGGAGATCCTGTAACTCTAGGGAA